TTCTACCTTTTATTTATTTTTTTATTCAACTGGAATTCCGCTTTAATGAACGACTTGATTAGGCAGCATTGTGGACATTCTTTACATTCATAAATCCATTGTGTTTTCCTCAGACTTTCTTCATTTCAGGACAAAACAAAGGCTTAAATAAACATCTGAATAAATATGGCTATTGATAGTGTCATATGTCAGCCTGGGATTATGACATGTACTTGCTTATTATTTTCTTTTTTCAAACTCTGCACATTACTGGACCAACTAAAATGGCATCTGTATGTTCATATAAGTAAATACAAATGATAGACTTAGAGAGTAGAAGTGTGGGAAACCTCTGTATTATCATTCACAAAGAAAAGTAATTTAGCGCATTGTTGCATATTGTACGGTATTCTTATTGTTAGTCTGTGCTGTATGATTATAAGATTGATATACCATTCTGGAAATTGTAAACTTTATACATTATGATAACAGAGAACCTGTCCAGTGGGGAAGGGGGGGTAGTTGATGCAAGTTTGAGGTGTAGGCACCTAGCGGTGCCTGCACATATCTGCTGCCGCCTTCAAGACTTGGTCATGTCCAAGTCATTGCTAAATGCTGGTCCATTCTAGAACAGATATTCTTAATGTCCCATACAGCCTGATATAAGATTAGACACTGGCTTGGACGGGAAGGGGCCAGCTGCTGCAGGTATAAAGTGTAGGCACCTTGGAGTTGCTCCGTACCTTCAAGACTTGATTATGTCCACATCATGGCGAACTGCTGGGCCATTCTGTCAGGCAGTGACACTTCCAGGCTGTGCTTGAGCTTGCTGCTCTGCTATGTCTGCACATGTGTTTTTATGTCCCATCATTATGATAGACTGCTTCACTGGCCAATAGAAAGGGACAGGCAAGCTTTACCACTGTGATACCTGAGATTTGGCCATGAAAGGAAGGTTTAGGTGGCTGCTACAACTATTGAGGGCACATGCACCTCATATGTGCATCAGTTTGCCCACCTTCCAAGTTTTTTTGATAAATGCTGAAAACTTTTCTGACATCTCTTATGCTCGGTTCACACTGTTGTGTCTTGGGATCTGACTTGTGAGACCCCAAGTCACATGACATGTGAAATCTCAAGTCACATGACATGTGAAATCCCATGTTAGTCTTTGAGAGCTGTCTTAATTATCACTACTGAATTTGCTCCAACCTTAGAAAAGGTTCCTGTACTACTTCAAGGTGACTTCTATCCAACTTGTGTCCATAGACTTTAATGGAAGTCACCTCCAAGTCGGATCCTCATCTAAACTGATGTGATTTGGATTGACATTTGACATTACAGTAAGATTATCCAGGCATTCTCTGAAAGTCACTTTAAAGTCACATCAAAGTCACATCAAGTTGCATCAAAAGTAGTACTCAAGTTGCCTGGCAAAGTCGCACTGTAAGTCGCACAACTTTGAGATCGCTGTAGTGTGAACCGAGACTTAGAGGCTCTGAACCTTATGCCTATGTGCTGCAGCTTTCTCAAGGGTTTATTCCACCCTCTACTCAAAATCTTAATTTATGCAATGATGTTACATTATGAGGAAAACAGCTAGGACTGCTGTGGTGAAGACTTATATTTAGCAGTGGTTTGTACTAGACTCAGAGAAGAAAGAATCCAGGGATGCAATCCAACTGGGTCTACCTGTAGCCAGTGGCATCCCTAGGCAGTTGCCATCCTGCAGGATCGTCAGAGGGGGTGTCACCAAGTGTTACCGCACCGGGTGACACCAAACCTAGGGTCTCCCCTGCCTGTAACTAAAGATGAATATACGCTGGTTTATTTGGAGAAGTATGGCCACAGCTCTTTTGGTCTGCACTCCTGTACTTGTATTAAGCCTACAGCGTGCTAAAGACTGCTGTCATCTGACTTTGCTGAGCCATTCCAGGCTATGGAGAGATCCCAACTTTAAAGTCAGAATCCACCCAGATTCCTGACGTTTTTTTAAATTCCCAAACTTCTCTTTTAATTCTACTGGACTTACACTGGGTGTTAATGATATAGCAAATGTGCAAACCTCTAGCAGCCATTGTTACCTGTCATCAATTTAGAGCAGTTAGAACAATGAAATGTGATTTGCTGATAGATTATTTAATAGCCTTCCTTTACCTCTATAGTGGACATAGGTTGTAACATACAGTGTTGTTAAAGCCTAATACATACAATCAGAAAATTGTATGAAAAATACTGCTTTTGAACTGATCCTACAATAATCTGATTGTCAGTACACAGCTTTCGTCAGAAATTATTTGAAGGGACATGCATGAACATATTTCTTGTACGATACCAGATAGTATGATTTCCGTTCAATCAGTACAGTTTTTGTCTGAAAATACAATACAAATACATTACGTCACTTTCAAATTTTTATTCTGTTGTAGAAGAATTTTCATAACTTTGAGTACCTTTTCACATTCAATTTGAGATTAGCATGCAAAAAAAAAAAAAAAAAAACCACAATCATTTGTCTAATATTCTAATCATGTGTACAGGGCTTTAGTGCTGAAGCATTATTTATCAGATAAATTAAAAGATGTGCAGATTGTGGCTGCTCAGTGTGCTGACCTATGCTGCATGAACAAAACAGCCATCCAGGAGGTAAATGAGAGTCGTTATATGTGTCATGAACACAATGTGCTTAGTGCCACACTTAGTATCTCCAATGTGATATCTGTGCATAGTCCATTAGTAACGTAACATTTTGTTTTTTTAAATAAATACTTTTATAGTACGTGGAAATTTTATTCAAAGCCTAAATGCCCTTTAAACTTAGTGAGGTTAAAAAACAAGCACACGTTAAACAATTGGTCTTTATGTTACCTACTAATTGAAGTTAATATTTAACATTACGTGTAATTTGCAGAACTTCTACTGTACATAAATGTGACAGCTGGCCAAAATAAAAATATCTCTAAGACAGTGGTGGCTTGTAAACCTTTGATTTATGGTATTACTGAGCTGGAGAGAATAGCAGCTGGTAAAAGGAACTTTATATATATATATATATATATATATATATATATATATATATATATATATATGGTGGATACAGTGTGTATCAGTTTCTAACAAACCTATATCCAAAACCATGGATTGTCTACATGTAATTATCTGTATTGAAAAATATATTTGGATATCTCCTGCGTCATACCCCCATTTCCCTTACCTCCCTCTTCCCCCCCTTTTTTGTAATTTGGTTTTTTTTTTTTCTCTTATCTCTCTCTCTTATTTTGCTGTCCTGGCCTCATGGTCACCACTTTCTCATTGTTTTACACTACTGATATTGCTGATGATACCTTGCTGTTTGTATTACCTTGATATGATCCATATTTTGTTGATACACTGGTTGCTCAGCTTTTGGGCATTTACTGTACCTGTACACTGTATTTGTAATTCCTTGTACAACAAAATGAAATATACTGAAAAGAAAAATATATTTGGGTTGTCACTGTTGACCTCTCCTTCTGAAAATGTGGTATGCCTGGGGTTGAATGCTGAATGCACTGCCTTGTAAGGAAGTGGCCTGGAGCAAGTACAGATTTGCTAATTTTTTCTGATCTATGATTTAAAATGTATTTAGAGTGTATCTAAACTGAAGAACCAAAAATTTATATAATGCAGCCTGTCCTCAGATGTGGTGGTTGCATTAGTTTACGTTTTTAGACTTTTTTTCCTTTTATTTTTACCTGGTGATCTGCCAGTAACACATTTCCTGCCCTTGGTGGGCAATGTTCATGTTCATTTCTGCCAGAATCAACAAGATTTTTAATTGCTCTTATTTTGAACATATATAACAAAATGCTTTCAATGGTATATTTAACAGACCAGAAGGGAGATATTAATAGATGTTCATTGTTAGGGTTTACATTCATTTTAATCAAACAGGCTGAAATGGCTCTACCTAATTTTCCTACTCAGGCTTTTCAGTAACACCGGTGCTCAACCCTAGGCTCCTGTCTGCCTATAATCCATAAAGAAAATACAAGAAAACCAGCATACAGCAGCAAATCTTTAGGAATGTTTATTTCAAAGCGAACCTATGGTTCCAAGCAGTTGTGCTGACGTGTTTATGCCTACAAGGTGACCTTAATCATAGCTGACTACTATTACCATATACTCATTAATATACTTCCCCTCACACACAGCTGGGGGGAGTAATCATCTTGATTAGTACTGAGCAACGTTAAAAGCACAAATATATTATGGAATACACAGGCGACAACTACAATTTTCATGAAAATCAGAAATAGCTTACACATTTTTCTAATGACTGAAGTACTTTGAGTAGGCAATCCTTTATGGAACATTTTGATTTGGGTGGTTCAATGGGATTATCTGGGGAGTGAGTAAATCATTGTATGAAAATATGGGTGATCCTGGCCAGGTCTCTGTGACACATAAAGTATGTGTCTTAATACCCATGCCCAAGATTGTCTATTAACCTCCCTGGCGGTATGATTATTTCAGATTTTTGGTGCAGAAAGCGGTACCATTATTTTGCATGGAAATTTGGCGTTTTATATTGTAGGCCTGTCATTTTTAGGAATACCTCACTGAAATCTGTCTGAACAAGAGTCTAGTAAACATCCCGGGTATGATAAAACTTGAAACACAAAATCATAAATTATAATTTAATAAATAATTATAAATAATAATAATATAATAATAATAATAAATTTAATTCAATAATATAATCTAACCAAAAACACTGAAATTTGAAATATAGCGCCAAGTTTGCACATCACTGAGCAAAGTCGCAAAATCGTTTTCAGTGTCTGATGACGAATTTCCCACGAATCATTATCACTCAATTCTGCAAGTGGTTCTGATTTATTATCGCTGTTCTCTAGCTGGTCTAAAACCGCTTTTGACCTAAAGGGACGCTTTTTGGACGCCATGGACATTTCTCAGTTTCCAGGCAGAAAGAACAGTCAAAATGCAGGCAGGGCACAGGACAAAGCACTAGGGACAAAATGTATGTGAAATGGTTTGATACAGTAATGTTTTACTATGTGATTTTAGTGATTTTTAGAAAAGTCACTTTTTGTCATTTTCAAATTTCCCGCCGTTCCGATGCTCACAGGGGACGGAACCCAGATGACAGATGCCGGCATCCGCCGGATTACATTGCCGGGGACACTGCCAGAGGGACATCGTGGGAGCGCAGGACAAGGTAAGTGACCGAGGGATCGCGGAGCAGCGCCGCATGGTATTCCTGAGTGTAGCTCGGGGTTACCGCTTGTGGTACTGAAACTTTACCCCAAGCTACACTCGGGAATACCACCAGGGAGGTTAATTAATAAATCCATTCAATCGAGAGCAAAATATGTATTATACTATTTAGGAAATTTGAAGAGCTTAATTTGTTAAAGGTAAGTCCAGGGCTGCACAGCCCATGAAGCCAATTGAAGCAGTTGCCTCAGTTAGCACTAATGGAAACATGGTGGGGGGTGGCATTGAGGCTTGAGTGTCCATACTGAAAATTCCATCCACAGTGCAGCTCAGGAATGCGGAGTCTGGTAGATCCACAGGCTTCGCATTTCTGAGCTCCCTTAGTGGCTGCTGCATAGGCAGGAGCAGTGGCAGAGCCTCTTCAGTGACTTGGAGCGTGTTAGAAGTACAGGTTCAGAGTCATTGAGCACTTTTAACAGGCTCAATGTCATTGACCTGACTATCTCTGTGTGTGTGCATAGATGCATTATAACCATTTGTTTAAGTGCATTACACACCTTTTAATATTACTTACTCTTACTTATTGTTTTATTTACCAGTCAATTTTGTCCCTTGCCTGAGGTAAAGGTGGTGATTTTAGGTGTCATTCTCCCCTGACATGGCCCTGGGTAGGAACTATACAAAACAGAGGAAATGGTCAAAACCCTGACTGCCTTATCACTATATTAGTGTTGCCGTCTAAACCATAATCAAGGCAGAAAAACAAAGTCGCATACTGAGGGTAAAGCCCCCTATATGAGAGAAATGGTTAATCTGACAGCAAACAAGGCTTGGATACAAAAAAAAAAAAAGGGCACACAGGCTTAGTGCATTATCGTAAAAAAAATTATTGGAAGGTTAAAAAGTAAGTATCGTACTCACAACAGGCAAACAGCTCAAAGGCACATCACACTAAACAGTGATGTCCAGTCCACATGGCATATAAGTAAAAAAAAATGGAACCCTGGACTTCCAACAGCCTAACGCATTTCGAGGTCTCAACCTCTTCCTCAGAGCCACCAAGCAGTGAGTCTTAAAAATTTTTTTTTACAATAATGCACTAGGCCAGTGCGCTCTGTTTGTTTTTTTTTTGTATCCAGTTACATTGCACTACCCCGATCCATTGAGGGCAGCAAGGAGTGCATTTTCCAGGATATCTGTGTTGGTACCATATCCCTAGCCGAGTCCACCCCGAAGCGCAAGAGTACAGAGTTTGCTGAGCAAACAAGGCTTGTATCAGGAATAGCAGTATAAAAGATTTATTATTTATTCATAGCAGAAAAATTGCAACATATAAAAAGTAGTGAGGCACAGTGCTCAATACCCACGATGAATACATAAACACACAAACAATAATATAAAAACAATGTCAATCCAAAGACGTCCGGACGTCATATACAATGTGCATATATATCCCCCACAGCACACGCATCATGTGAATTCACGCTTATGGCTGACAATAGTTCAATACAAGTGGTACTGCAGGACATGCATACACTCATGCCCCAGGGCCCGTTGACAGTTGATGGTTTCCAATAAATAAAACTAATACTAAGTAGGAAGAGAACCCCCCTGCGAGATGTATACCACATGGGATGGCAGAAGCGGTCCCAAAATCACCAACAGTAATCCAAGGATAGGAACTGGAGGGGATCAAAAATAACTGGAGGGATAGTGGTTGACATATATTCAGGGGCGAACTGACAACTCATGGGGCCCCCGGGCAATAGGGGATCATGGGGCCCCTGTGTCCTTGCCCAAACTCAAAAAAGCCTATGAAATAGGTACCAGGGGCATCTCATGGGGCCCCCTACTGACCCCGGGCCCTCGGGCAGTGCCTGAGTTTCCAAATGGTCAATCTGCCCTGCATATAGTCCATATATAGTATATCCGGTAATCGGAATCCAGTTCCACCTGGTGTGCAGTCACTATGTGACCCGGCAATATATAGTCACATGGATAACACCGGCTTGGCCGATGTAAAGTTGATCGACCAACAGGTCCAAATAATATATAATAGCAAATATTCTTATGAGATGTGTATTGAGCTTGATCAATATAGGCTTGCTTAAAGACCACATTCAAACTGTACTAATCAAAAACATTGGATGTGGAAATAGGTTGAAAAATTAGCAAATTCTGTTTTTCTTAAATTAATCACATTGCTTTCTAAAAGCTCAATAAGTTTATGATAACAGTGGCAATGTACTGCAGAAGCAAATCCTGTAATTCATATTCATGCTCGAGCGTGACAACCACTGCTTGATGAGTAATGATTACATTTTAACTGCACTCTTTCAGCCAGGTGTTTTTATGGATACAGTACAATAATGTTTACTGCATAGTATCATTTTATTTACTTAGATGTTTAGTGCATAACGGTTATGAATCACAATTAAAGGTTATGAGAACAGTTCAGTGTATCTCCCTAATACATTAGATACCATAAAGACAGGATGGATAATAATATTTTTAAATGGCATTTAAACCAATCAGATTGTATAAAACACAAAAACAATATATCTCATTGCTATGTGTAATATTTCACTTGTATGTAAATTGGCCCCAGTAATTTTGTCAAGAGGAAGTATTGAAATCTAATTTATTGCAATGAGAAAACTCTGGACATAGGTACTGTATGTAGGTTACACACAGTTGATGATACTACAGACATACCACTTTATACATACATATATCTATATCAAGACTTACAGAAAATGGTATTACACTTCAAAAACCAGAAGGCAGAGAATTTTATCTGCTTAAGCAAATGCTACATAGTGGATTATTCTGTGCAGTTATATATAATATATAATCTAGCTCAAGGACAGAATTCAGATTTCAAAAGGAATCAGATGCTCTGTTTCACATTTTATTTTCAGTACAATCAACATTTCCAACTATAACTCTTTTTTGCATAGTAGAGACATTTGTGCATGTTTAATATATTTGATAGTTTTATTCTAATATTATAATATATTTTACACATTTAAAATGTTTTATGGCAAATAAAACCTGAAGGTTAACATTTTACTCAATATATACAGTACATAGCTGTGTTTGTGTTCACATATGTATGTATATTGTATAACTGTATCTTAAAGACAGTCTTTCAACCTCTAATGAATACTTTGGTATGCAGAAATTAACCAATCTGCCTGTTAACAACCGCATTAATGCTGATTAATACTGAAAAAAGTCATTTTCTGCAGTGTCTAAACTCTATACAGCATTAAAAGGTGTGACTCCATGCAGCCTCACGCATCATATAGACTGCTTCCTGCAAAACTGTTGGAGATTTAAAGCCCAACTGCCTTCAGTTTACAACCAGTTAAATTAATTCCAGGTGCATGAACACAAAAGGTGTTTAAAGTCTGAACGTTACTTTAAATCAGCTAAATATATTCCAAGTGTATTAAAACAGAAGGTGTTTAGAAGTTAAACATTTTGTTTTCTTAGGAAAGCAGCCAAAGTCTGAGAAGAAAAGTCTATCCTCTGCCATCATACTGCAGAGAAGAACCCTTGCCCTGTGTGGAAGCAGTGGTCTCTCTGTAGAGCTCTGAGATGCCCCCTGGTGAGACAGAGTTAGCACTTCCTATCAGCAAAGCTCACACTGCATGCTGATTGGAGAACTCCAGCTCAGCAAAGGCTGGACTCTGCAGAGGGACCACTGCTTACAAACAGAGAGCAAGGGTCCTTCTCTGCAGCATGCTGGCAGGACCGACTTTTCTACTCAAAATGTGCAGATGCCTCAGCTTGCTTTTATATATATATATATATATATATATATATATATATATATATATATATATATATATATAGTCTTTTTTGGGGGAGGTTGAATTTTGTTTCTCCACTTTTTTTGTGTCATGCCAATACAAACAAAATAAATAAACTTGCCTAATCATTTGTAATTGCAACAATTTGCTGGGTGAGGTGGGACATTATCTGATAGAAATGCAGTAGTGCCAATATTTTTTTGCCATGACTGTGTGTATGTATATATATATATATATATATATATATATATATATATATATATACACACAGTATATGTATTTAATATATGCAATATGATCATAATAGGATAATTTGATAAAAAAAGTATAATTTTTGCATAGTACATGAAAGCAGATATTTAATTTTTCAACATTAATTTTATAACACTGTTTAAAAGTCTATTTTGAATAAAACTATAAAATAAACCGCACCAGGCTCTCAGACCTTCATATTTCTAAATCATGTAATAAACAATTGGTTGTAATTATTTTGTATCACTTTCATCCTATGAATGCCACCAATAGCATAAAGGAACAGAAAAGACTGAAATGACAATGTTTTATGGCTTTAATGCCACACCTCTAGAGAACATGCATGAAATTATGACAATGGGAAATTGTTCTGTTCTCATTATCACCTATTATCACAGATACATGTAGTAGAGAAGACCAAAGTCCTTGTTTCCCTGCTCCAGCTAGATAAAGAGAGAATCTCCAATTAAAACAATAGTAGCTTTCTAGACACAGAGAAATGGGATTGTTTTTAATATGCAAGGGAGGCACGTTGACGAGTCTTATCCTTTTGATCATGTGTTTAATTAATTTTCATGTTGTGATTAGATAAAAACATAACTTTGATCAATGATCACTATATTAGTTATGGTTGATTGGAGTTGGTACTGCTATTTTATTCACATACCTTGGTTTAGAAACTCTAATACAATTTTATCCATAAATAAATAAAAATATATATATATATATATATATATATATATATATATATATATATATATATATATATATATATATATATATATATCCTAGAGTTTTTTTAATAGATTAATTCATTTGCAAGAATAAAAGGAGAGAAAGGATGTTTTCAATGATCTGTTATTTTTTATGATTTTGTATAAACACTAATAGGCATTAGCAGATAATATATTTAAATTTTTTTCACCAAATGTTCAAAATTGTTTTAAGAATTTAATACTGTTATTGAAGAAGGGGCAGAATATTCCAGATATATGTTAGAATATATAAGGGTTGGGTTATAAAGGGTTGGAGATTGGGAGATATATTTCTAAC